GCTGGGGGGTCCGGGGCTGGGGGGCCCGAGGCTGGAAGGCCCAGGGTGGGGTGCGGGGCCGGCCTTTGCTGATGCCCGCCTGGCCCCGTTGCAGAGGCTACAAGAATGTGAAGAAGCAGCCTACAGGCCTGAGCAAGGAGGTAACGGGCCGAGAGGCCCCGCAGGGCGGGTCGGCGGTGGTGGTCCGAGGTCGGCAGGGTGGCCTAGGCCGGGTGGGACGGGGCCCTGGGGCCTGCGTGGGGACCTGGCCTTCCTCTCCCCACAGGACTTTGTCGAGGTCTGTAAGCGGGAAGGAGCTGACCCTGAGGACAAGGGTGTGGACCGGCTCCTGGGGCTCGGGAGCTCCAGGTGCGGGGGCAGGGGTGGTGGTGAACTGTTAGGGAGCTCCCTGAGGACAGGGGCGATCAGGACTGGGGCTTGCAGATGAAGGACCTGACGAAGCAGTCACGGCTCAGCAGGTCCCAACGAAATGGAGGGTAGTCGCCCCCCGTGGGCACTGCCAAGTGCCCAGGTGGAAAGAGATGCTGCAGGGACTGGGCACAGCTCGGCCTTCTCCCCAAGGCCGCCTTCTCCCCACATGTCCCTACAGTGGCTCCGCTGGCCGAGTGGTGCTGTCCAGAGAAGACAAGGAGGCTGCCAAGCTGGGGCTGTCGGTGTTCACAGTAATGTCCCCTTCCCCGGAACACACCAGGGGCCCGTGTAGCCAGATGGGAGGGTTCTGGGTTCCCCTGATGTTGTGGGCCCAGGGCAGGGCCCTCTCCTCTGGGGCACTCCCAGCCTCCTGACCTGGGAAGCGTCTCGGGGTTCCTGGGACTCCCCCCTGGCCTTCACCTGTGGCTCCTGCTTCTCTGGCAGCACCACAGAGTGGAGGGCAGCGGGACAGGGGCCTCCCCGGCCTCGGCCAGAAAGAAGCTGCACTCAGAGGAGAAGGTGGAGCCATGGTAAGGGCCGCACTCACGCATCCCTCACTCGGGATCTGCAGGCAGCACGCGCCTCTGCTGGGATCCTGGACTGAACTTCATGCTTACAATTTAAGAATTTCCGTATTTGGGGCAGGCCCCTTTAAGCCACACCCTGGAGGCTGCGGAGCAGAAGTTTGAGTAGCACAGGGTTGCAGTTTCTCTTCGCACACTAGCTGCTAGGAAGCTGTGAGCCAGATGGCGAGCCGCCTGGCTGCGGGAGGGTGGAGGACGCGCTGCCGGTCAGCTGGCTTCCAGGCTCCACTCTTGCTCTTTGCCGGGTTTTCTGTTTCCTCCTACTTCTGCTTTGTCATCTTGGGAGCCCCCCGAGTCACTCCTGGAGAAGGTCAGGTCCCTAGTGTACAGGGTGTGGTCCTGGGATGTGTGGCCCTGGGACGTGTGGCCCTGGGACGGCCCTCCAGCTCCAGCAGAGTCAGGTGGCCGCTCTGGCGTGAGGGCCGAGGCTGGAGGCGAACGCTCACAGAACAGGGCCTTCCAAGCTGAGCTTGGAGAGGCAGGGTCCTGGCTGGGGAGGCACCCAGCCCCGAGGTGGAGAAGGGCCCACAGGCCGGCAAGGAGTCGTGTGGCGGCAGGAGGCTTAAAGTCCATGTAGAGGGTGCAGTGGAGGTGGGCCGAGGGCAGGCTGGAGCCAGCCAGGTGGTGGTGAAGGCCCTTTACTGCCAGGCTGCCCTCTGGTGCCTGCTGTGTGCCAGGTGGTTCTGGGCCGCGCGGGGTGGTCAGCGGACCTGCGCTTTGGTGCTTGCTGTGTGCCAGGCGGTTCTGGGCCACGCAGGGTGGTCAGCGGACCTGCGCTTTGGTGCTTGCTGCGTGCCAGGTGGTTCTGGGCCGCGCGGGGTGGTAAGCGGACCTGCTCTCTGGTGCCTGCTGTGTGCCAGGCGGTGCTGGGCCGCGCGGAGGGGCTAGTAGACCTGCACTCGGGCAGCTTGGAGGACGGGCTGAGTGTGTGTGGGGTGCGGAGTGGGGCGAGGATGCCCAGGGGAACACCTAGTGGGGCCGTGTGCTGCGCCCTAATGGGCATGTTCCCCTCTCGCTGTCCACTGTGGAGCCCCTGTCCCGGGGGACTCTTGAGGACTTGGCATGCGGCCAGTACACCGAGGCAGTGAATTTCTTATTGCTTCCACTTAATTTAAATGGAGGTAGCCACACGTGGCCAGTGGCTGCCTTTGTGGACAGCACAGTGTAGGCCCTTCCCCTGTGGAGACCCTGGTCTGGGGGGGGCCCTGTCTCAGCCGTTCCCACTCACCGGCCCCCTCCTGCCTGGCACACAGAGCAGAGCTGTGGAGGCAAGAGCTGGGCCTGAGGGGTTTCTGCTCCCCCTCGCAGCTCTGAGAACCACAAGAAAAGCAAGAAGGAGAAGAAGAAGAAGAAGAAGAAGAAGCACAAGAAAGAGAAGAAGAAAGAAAAGCAGCCCAAGAGGGAGGTGGCTGCTCCCTTCGTGGCCCCGTCTACTGCCAGGTAGGCCCAGCTGTCAGCAGGGGTCTTGGGGGAGCTCCTAGAACAGAGGATCAGGCTGCAGAGGACGGGGTCATGGCACGCCGAGTCACGTGGTGGCACAGAGACCTTCTGTGGGGTCCTCGGGGCTGCATGGTGCCCGCAGCATTCAGCCCGGGCACTGCCTTCTCCCAGCCTGGGTGGGCCTCGGGGCTGTATGGTGCCTGCAGCACCCAGCACCAGCACTGCTTTCTCCCAGCCTGGCCGGGCCTCGGGGCTGCATGGTGCCCACAGCACCCGGCACCAGCACTGCTTTCTCCTAGCCTGGCCGGGCCGAGGCTCAGGTGGTCCGCTTGCCGTGCTGGCCCAGGTGCAGGCCCCTCACTGGGCCTCCCCTCCGGCCTCCCCCAGGCATGGACGCCACCGGCATGACTCGGGTTCCTCAGCCAGCGACCACTCCCCCCGCTGCGGCAAGAGGAGGAAGTGGGGACACGGTGTATGCAGCAGGAGGAGCCCCGAGGCCCGGAGACGGCATCATACAGACTCTGACCCCTGAGCCAGGTGCCCCTGCTGCACGGACCACCCCACGGCCCCTGGCTGTGAGCTCCGGGCCCCAAGGCCCGCCTCAGCCCACTTACTGTTCGGCTGTGACGACTGTGACCGATGGGCTCCTGGTGGACACCTCTCCACCACCACAGGGAATCACCTCTCTTCTCTGGGGTGAGGCTGGAGCTGGTCCTGCCCCTCAGAATGGCACAGCCCCACTTCAGCCTGGGGAGCGGAGGGCGGAAGAGGCTTGCTTTGTGACAGTCACACCAAGGCCTTGGGAAGGGGATCTGGTGAGCAAGCCTACCCAGCCCAGGGCAGCCCCGAGTCCAGCGGGGGCCTGACAGGCGAGGACCGCTGTCCGCCAGACCACGCTGCCTCCCCTGGCCTTCCGCCCTCCACCGCGGCTCCCAGGCTTGCTGTAGCAAATACGATTACCATTTTCCTTTACCTTGATTTGTTTTTTACTTAAATAAATTTATTTTAAAAGAAAGTATGTATTGCTGGTATCACACACGATGAGAGTGGCCATGTGACGGTGTTACTAGCTAGCGGCTGCCTGTGGAAGGGTCCCATCCTGAGACTCCCCTAAGAGGGGTGTGAGCAGCACCAAGGGGAGACTGTCCTTCACGTAATCAGAGGTGGGACTGCCCAAAGGGTGACTGGTGCCAGCACCCTGCCCGGACGTCCCGTGTAGGTCTGGGCAGCCCCTTGGTCCCAGACCTGACTCCACGTGGAAGGTGCAGGACTGGGCCCTGGCAGTGACTATCATGTCTTACAACTTTTTATGAACACGGAGCCCTAAGCCATCCCCTCGGTGGCGGAGGGACTCGGTGTGTCCACCCAGAGACCCCTGGTGCAACGTGGAACAGGTCCTTCCTGCCCGCCAGAGGGGCCTGCTCAGCTGGAAGCAGGAGTTCGTGAAAGTTGAAGCAGCACCTACTACTCTCCAGGGACTGTGCTGGGGATACTGTTGTGAACACGACGGGGTTGGGAGACAGGTGAGACACATGACAGACGATGCTGAATGCTGTGGAGAAAAGGCCGTCCCCAGGGAGCAGCCCCAGCCAGGCCGTAGAGGGCAGGTGCTGGGCGCAGGGTGGACCCGAGGGCTCACTCCTGCAGCCACAGTGGCCTGCCCCCTTCTCGCCCCGCCCCCCCCCCCCAGAACACCTCTGCTCCCTGCGCCCCTTAAGGAGACTCCTGACCACCCATACAAGTCCCAGTTCAGGTCCCCCAAGGCAGGTGGCTGGGGGCTGGCTCCCTCCACCTGTGTGGTTGGCTCGTGACGCGGGACACAGTGCGGCACCAAGCCTGTCCTCTTTGAGCCCAGCAGGCAGGGGTGGGGGCTGGGCGCCCGAGGCTGCCCGACTGGCCCTGACCTCAAAGGCCATCTGACTGGGGACGGGAGATCTTTGAGCCCTGGCGGGGCAGTGGGACCCCCAGGTGTCTGATGTCAGCTCACTTCCCCATGGCCCACCGTCTGCTCTGCTGGACCTGATACCGCCTTGCGCCTGCCACAGGCTGGCAGGGATGCACAGCTTGGGCCGGTTCTGTGCCTGGAGGCCCATCACCAGGGCTGCTCGGTGACATCCATGGGCCCTTCCTCCACAAATCTGCAAACGTTTGATGACTGCATTGGTATAACAACACTGCAGTCCAGGCTGCGTTCATTTTATATTTTGCTTTTGATTTTAAAAGAAGCTAAAACGTTTTTGTGGGCTCCATGATTGTCGGGAACGTGAGGCCGTGGGCCCACTATGCCCGCCAGGGGTCTCTGTCGGTGCCTGGGTGGGGTGTGGCCAGACTCGCTGGTCACAGATGGTTCCACCAAGCTGTGTGACTGGGTGGGCCCGCACCCACCCTCTGCACGCCCACCCCTTGCACGTTTCCCACCCCAGGAGGGATGACAGGGTCTCCTGCAGTGCTTAGGGCACATCTGAAGTTGAACCAGCACCATGGACGCCACGTGGCCTGGGACAAGGATGAGGAAGGCGATGGATGTCCAGGGCGGAGCCCTGCCAGCAGCTGCCGCCCCCACCCGGCAGCTATGGACAGAGGTGGGCCACGCCCAGGCCTGGCTCTGGACCCTGAGCCAGTTACCAAGGGAAGCCAGTGGAAATGGGGCTGCGGGAAGGTGTTCTCCTGGTGCCTCCCCAAGCAGGACTCCTCAGGAGCCTTCCAGAACCCTTGGTCCGGCTTGCTTCCCTCCCAGATGTGAGCCGGGGCGCCCGCTAGTCCCTCCCTGCCTGCCTTTCTTTGGTCAGTGAAGGTGATGAGGCTTCCTTCTGGCTGAAGCACCAGTTAGATGCCCAGGCAGGATGGGACAGTGGCCGCCAAAAGACCTCTGAGGTCGTACGTCTGTCCCGAGACAGCAGGCATGCAGCTGTAGCTTGTGCTGCTGGAGCTGGGCTGCAGGACCTCTGATCTGTGTCCATATACCTTGGCTGCCCTGCAGGGAAGGCTCCCCCTGGACAGCCACAGCACAGCAAGGGGCCCGTGCCCCTGGGTCTGGAAGGGGCAACAACACTGCTGGCCAGGGTCATGACACGTGTCTCAACTATCTGGTAGAGGGCACTCTGCTCAGGGAGCAGTGGGGGCCGACACCTGCCGGGTGCCGGGCCCTGCTTATTTATCAGGCCTGAGCTGGGCTGCCTCCACGCCAAGGAAAGGCACGTTCCCGCTGGCTGTGGCAGCCAACACTCTAGAGTATCAGGGTTCAGGGCCTGGGACCCAGAGAGCCACTCCCTTGGCCCCGCTGGGCACTCAGAACAGCTAGAACAAAGGTTCCCAGAGGCAAGGACGCTACTTCAGGGGGCTGGGGGCAGGGCTGGCCTGGTTGAGAAAGGGATCCATCCTCAGGGTGGAAGAGCAGGGTGGGTCCCACAAGGCCACACCTTGATTTAGGCTGGAGAGGGCAGAGGGTCCCCTGGCTGTGACGTTGGCCCCCAGGCCTCACTCTGCCCTGCTGGCTCAGATGGTCCGGCATGGTCACCCTCCCAGACTCCTCCCCCTCCCGTGAGGCCGCAGGAGGCCTGCTCCCCAGCCTCCCCCCACCCCTCCCCGCCCTGGCTACCTGCTCCAGCCTCCCCTCAGCCCAGACTCAGCCTCAGAGCACTTGCTGCCGCCCAGGGATTCCGCCACCGTCACATCTCAAGACCACGCCTGCTTGTTCACACGGTCTCAGATGTGCCCGCGTCCAGTGTCGGGAGGCACCCTGCTGAACGAGGAGCAGACATGGCAGGATGCCAAAGGCCACTGCAGTGATCCCGTGGCCCCGCTCGGCCCTGGAAATCCACTCAGCCCCGTGGACGCCAGAGAACTCGCCCTCAGGTGCGCACGCCTGAGGTTACATCCGGGATAGCGGATGAGCACTGGTTCAGACGGGGTGAGAGGTGTTCAGGGGCGGAATCCTTCAGCCTGGTTACACGAGGGGTGTGGTGGGCCACAGAGCTGCCAAGGCCCCACACAGATTGAGTACAGGCGGGAGAGGTGAGGGGAAGGTACGGGTCTCTGCTCTTCTGTTTGTGTTGTCTGAAAAGGGGCTTTTTTTGTATTCTGCCAACTTTCTAGGTGCAGTGTGCCAGGGACTGAGCAGCTGTCGGGGAGCAGCACCGACGCACTGAAAAGCTCATGAAATAGTTAAGAGATTTTATTCTAATAGCTATAATTACAGTGCTTGTTTGTCGAAATGAAAACTGAAAACAAGTATACAAAACAGTTGATTACTAATTGTGTATTGAAAGCAGTCAGAGGTTCCACGACACCGAATAAACCAGTTCTGAGGGGTTCCCCCCGAGATAAAGTTTAACAGCTCCAGCTTCTTCAAGTGTTTATCAAAATACAAAAGAAAAAAGTATAGACGTCGTCTTTTCTCGCTGGCAAATCTGACCGTTGCAGGATGAGGGAGTGGAAGCTACTTCACACATGTACAGACGGGGTGCTCCGACAGGCTGTGCACTCTGGGTGGAAAGCTCCCAGCTGGCATGCACTCCTGTGGGAGACCCTACGTCCCGGGAGTCTGCTGCTCTGGCCAAGGTGTCTGAGTAAGCGCTGGGAGGAACGGGGCTCTCTGCTCTGCTGAGTGGTCACATAAAAGCACCACACACCTGACCGAGAGAACGGTGGGTGGTGCTCTACTTTCTTCCACGCTGAGAGCCCAAAGGCCGCTGCCCACGCCACGGCCAGCCGCGCGGGTTCCCGTCACCAGGGGCCCAGCGGCCCAACAGAGGGCCTGCGGTGCTCAGATGGTAGCCTGGGCCATGCACAGCCTCAAAGCTCGTTTCCTAGGTAACCGTGTGAGCACAAGTACAAGCACAAACTCCCTATGAAATACAGGATGATCCAAAAAGACAAAGAGTAGTTACAGGGATCTCTATTGTGACCATGCAGAATTGATGGTGGGTTTGTTTTTGTCGCCTTGGCTCATGTTCCCAACGGGAAACACCGTCAGATGGACTAGTACTCAGGCTGTTCCTGTAAAACCTCCACTGGGTGTGTTTCTCCCTTCTGTGCGTTCAAGTGTTCTCCTTTATTGTTAGCTACTTTAAAAAATGCACTGAGTTTGGGTTAAAAACCAACCACCCAAATGGATCTCAACACAGGTCTCAGGCCGAGAGAGGGCGCTTGGTTCTTATAACACAGTAACCCCGGGGAGCCCAGGTTCAGTGTGTGGAAATCCCTTCTCAGTACTGAACAGTGAGTTGATTTTTCTTTTTTACAATAAAAAAAGCTGAGTAATATTGCATAGGAGTACCAGAAACTGCCTCATTGGAACAAAAACTATTTACATTAAATAAAAAACCTGTTTGCAGGCTGTGTCTGCCGCATTTACAGCACGGTGTGTACACACTGTGACCCAACCCCTGGAGACAGCTTCTGGCACTCAACACCACAGAGCCGCACAGTTTGCCACACGAGAGGAAAGCAGAGGGCGAGAGAGGAGGAGGAGGGAGAGGAGGCAGAGAGGGAGGAGGACCGGTCTCGGCTCATTTCTGGTTCCGCAGCTGATTGGACAACCAGTCCAGCCCCTCATAGAGCCCGTCCCCGCTGGTGGCGCAGGTGGCCTGAATGTACCAGTTTCTGTGGCGCAGGGAGTGTAGCCCCAGTTTATCTGTGATCTCAGCGGCGTTCATGGCATTGGGAAGGTCCTGGGGAGAAAGACGACACACCCAGGCTCTCGGTGAGCATGATGGGCCCGCGGGGAGCCAGCCCGCCCCAGCCAGCTCTCTCCCGGCGAGAGGGGCAGCCTGCATGCTCCACCTTGAGCCCAGCACCTCATTTCTCGGCACTTTCGTTTGCCAAATGTCATAAGGGGACAATTCATTCAGGGCCCAGCAACAACGACCACACAGGATGGCACAGTGAGTCAAATGAAAGGATGCACGGAAAGCATCCGCTACCAGTCACATCCTGGGCCAAGTCCCTGGGCCTCAGGTTCTTCCCAGGCCCAGAGCCCGGCCTCGAGCAACCCTGCCGTATCACTGATGAGGCCGCAGACCCCCCATCTCGGCGGCGGTTTCTATGCTGCAGAAGGGCATGCCCAGGTGCGTACCTGCTTGTTAGCGAACACTAATAAAACAGCATCCCTGAGCTCGTCTTCTGCCAACATCCTCATGAGCTCTTCACGGGCCTCGTTCACACGCTCCCGGTCATTGCTGTCAACCACAAAGATCAAACCTACAAAGCAAGCGGGCATCATTGCAAAAGGCTGAAAACCCACCCTGCCCAGCCTCACCTGCAGGCAACGTGGCCTGACTTCTGAAAGTGGAAGCAGACGGGCTGTCGTGGGGCTGAAGGCTTGGTCTTCCTGTAGCCACCACGTGTCTGTGAGACCGCGGGACTCACCGGAGGGGAGGTACGGGCACCCTGACTGCTGCCTGTGCTCAGAGGGACTCCCACATGAGCAGTCCATTTTCTGGGCTGCCCAAGGAGGCCTCCAAGAGGCAGCACCCCCCCGCCCCCCCATTTCTAAAAAGGCAGCAGCACTTTCTGGTAGTGAGAGGTCAAGTGCAGGCAGTCAGCAAAAAGGAGGTGGCCAGGGTCCTCCTGGGGCCCTCGTGGGGCTCTGCTGAGGGAGCAAGGGTCTGAGTGGCTGCCTGACAGGCCACCCTAAGTCCCAACAATGGGACTCCCGGGATGGTAGTAAACAGAATGCGAGGCATTTACCCTGGCTGCCTGTTTCCTCATCTGTGAAATCAGAAGACAGCACCAGCCTCGCCAGGGCTCTTCTGAGGGCTACGCGGGATCAACCATTACAGCACTTGGCACAGGGGGCCGTGCAGGTGTTCGTACACATCTACACGTGAGCTGTTATTAATAACTCAAAACCAAACCAAAGCTTTCTCAGGCCTATCTGAATTCCAGCCTGCTGAGGAGCTGAAGGCCTCCTACCGGAACAGGCCCAGGTTTCCGCTTTACAGGGGAGCGCGCGCACGCGTGCCTCTGGGCCCAGTGGCCCTGCTGGACCGGGCCCCAGCTGCTCACCTTGTGTGTTCTGGAAGTAGTGACGCCACAGGGGCCGGATCTTATCCTGGCCACCCACATCCCACACGGTGAAGCTGATGTTTTTGTACTCAACCGTTTCCACGTTGAAACCTGAGAGGAGCAAGAGATTGGAAGATGAGCGTCTTCTCTGCCCTCATCATGCTTGGCGGGAGCTGCTGAACAAAGAGACACTCTGTCCCCCGGGGGTCACTGAGGAGGGGCTGGCAGGACGCCCCCGGGGAGCCCCAGTGGACTAAGCGGCAGCAGCAATCAAGTCCCTGCTGGTCCCTCACTTCCCTCAGAAGGGTTCCTCCCTACTGGCTCCCAACGGAGGCACCCCCTGAGCCTGCTCCCAGCAGGGCCCTGCGCCCTCCCAGAGCCTGCCCCACTGGATGAAAGGACAGGTTTGCACAAAGGCTGGACTCCTTACCTATAGTGGGAATAGTGGTTACTATTTCACCAAGCTTCAGCTTGTAGAGAATCGTAGTCTTTCCCGCAGCGTCCAGGCCAACCATGAGAATGCGCATTTCTTTTTTGCCAAAAAGGCCCTTGAAGAGGTTAGCAAAAATATTCCCCATACTTGCAGACTGGTGAAATCAACACTGGCCAGAGACACCTGAAAAGACAAGATGTTCCACAGGTTTCCGTCTCTGTGTGGCCCCAGCCAGCACCGGAGAAGCAATTCAGAGACTACCCACCCACCCGCCCACCGAGGATGTGCTCACACACAGTTACCTCTTTCTAAAGCTCACGGCTCAGGAAATTACGCAATTCTGGTTCCCAAGCAACAGAAAAATGAATCCTGCATATTAAGCTACTCAAGTGAACTGCCCCCAAATCAGCCTCAGATTAGAGGGCTGGACTTTCGATGAATCAGAATTTTACGCAGCTGCAGTAACTCCTTAATTTTACATGGCGCTATCTCAGAAAATAACTTCCCAAAGTTACACAGCAAGTTAGGGTACAGAAAGGCCCAGAACTATGCCCTGACTCCTAAGTTCCCTCAAACATGTCACTGTTCCAAGTAGGACTCACCCCTGAAGACGAGATGTTTACCATTTGAAAACTGGTACTTTCAAACGAATGCTAGATCTTCTTTGCAATCCAATAGACATTTTCCAGGGCCAGAGAGAACAACCCAAAAGAGCCCTCAGCCTATGAGGGTCCCCACCCTGATACAGGAGTTGAGTCACCCTGTCGCACAAAACGGAAGCCTGCGGTGCTGGGTCCTGGGGATTCCAGTGAGAGCAGTCAACTTTCACTCCAGTGCCAGAGCTGGGCCATGCGGCCTGGAGGCAGGACCTCCCAGGCTCCCGCCACCCCAACAGCACACCAGGGCAGGGGTCTAAGCACGCAGATCCCACTCCTGCACTGGCCCCAGCACGCCTTTGTTCTAGGAAGGCGGAGGACATTGTAAGGCATGTAGGGCATTACGTCCACAGATAAACCCAGGAGGCGCAATGGTATTCATGCCAGTAGAGGGGACTCTACCGTCACAGTCCCTCCAGCTGAGGCTGCGGCCACCCCTGGGGCGCATGTCGCTGGCAGGCTCCTGTGGGCAGTGCCAGGTGTATGCAGGACCATGCACAGCTCATCCGGCCCTCAGCACGACAGAGACTCTGGGACCACTGATCCAAGTCAGCTAACACCACCTGTGTCAGAGACGAGGCTCAAAACTTGCAGGAAGGAAGTGTCACCAAGTCCCAGAGGCCCCTGAATGCCTGGCCATTCTGTGGGCACTTCTGACCTTCAATTGTTTTGTTTTGCTCCCTTCACCCCCCAAACAAGAGCTTTATAAAAAATGGTCATCACTTTCTCAAATGCTTACAAATTTGGGATTTTAACCACCTAACAGTAAAACCAAACAGTGAAGTACTATGCAGCTGTGGAAAAGGATGAAGGAGTTCTTTATGTGCTGGTTTAGAAAACTAACCGATACATATTAAGTTAAAAAAGCAAGGTGAAGAACAGAGAGTATGACAAGCCTTCCTTTACAGATTGCTTGTACTGAACTGCCTATGCACAGAGGCATCTGGAAGGCTGTTAATATGAAACTAGTATTTCCAGGGGCTGGGGAAATGGGTGGATCTGAGACCAAGCAGGAACGACTCTTCACGGGATGCTTTTTCCCTTTTGAAGTAGTTTCGAACCTCTTCAACCTTTCCTGACAGGCCGACATTCGGGTTGCTGTCCTTCAATCTGGGTTTGTCTCATGTCCCTGTGACGGGCTGCAGGTTACGCATCTTGGAAACACCAGGAGGCGCTGTGCTCTCCGTGTTGTCCCATCTGGTGGCATTCAGAGTTTGCTCAGTACTGGTTTTCACTTTTGATGACTTGATAAAGGTGACATTTGCTACGTCTCTTTGTTGGGATGGCTGCCAAGTGGTGACGTTCTACTTAGCCATTCGTCCTACAGTTCTTGGTTAGCCTTCTACGGTACAGACACCCCTCTTCCCTCCTGCCACCATTCACTTATTCGTTCGCGGCTATCAGCACAGACCCGTGAGTCCCCACTGTGTGCGGTCAATGGGGCAGTCAATAAGCCTCTTGATGCAGGGGCCCCAGTGGTCCAGACTCAGCCAGCAGAGCCCCTCTGAGCTGGCTGCAGTGCCCTCTGGACACCTTTTATTCTTTTTTGGTTTTGAACCATATTACCCGTTAAAATTAAATGAATTTTAAAATTTAGAAAGATCTTCACTGTAACATTCCCTTTTCTGGAGACAGCCAATTTTCTTAAAGAGGATTAAAAATTCTTTATGGGAAAACAGGACAGAGTAAGCATACAAATTTATCAGCTCACTCCTGAAATCAGTATCAATAAAGAAATAAAAATGCAGAAACCCACACGGACAAAGGGAAAGGAGACAAATTTTGGAACACGACACTTGACTAGGCAGAGAAAGATAGAATCTAAGGCCCTGCAGAGAGGGAGTCCCAAATGAGAAGCAAGCCGAGAGCTCCTGGAGAACCCTGGAAACTTGGGGAACTTGCTGCACCAGGTCTGAAGATGAAAGAAAGGGATGAGAAGGGAGCTGGGCTGAAAACCTGGGTAGGGATTATCATTGCCTGCTTCTTCCCCAGCTCTGCAGGAGATGGAAGGAACCTTCTTGGAGCCACTGAATCAGAGAGGCTCAGACCGAGGTATCTAAAGCACAGAGGAGGGTGTGAGGGAGATGCTATGCTGAAAGCAGAGGGTCCCAGCGCATACCAACACACTGGACAGCCGTGAAACCCCCATTCAGCTGCCAGAACAATGACGTGAGCTATGCATATACCCCTGCAGGCTTCTGTACACGAGAGACCAAAGGCCTCAGAGAAAGGACAGCATTTGGAGGCCCCCAAAACAGCAGAGTCCACCCCTCGCTGTCCACCTTTAAAAAGTCACCAACATAAGAGACCAAAATAAACATACAAAAAAGGACTTTGGAGGGAAGCAAATAAAACAGAAAAACAAAACAAGAAAAACCCAGGAGAAATTAGAAACAACCAAAATCAAAAACTCAATCAAAGCATTAAAAATGAAGCCTCTCAGAAAGGAGAAAAGAAAAAAGACCCACTCCAACACACAATGCAAATTCTAGAACATCAGAAGTCAAAAGGTCTTAAAAGCACCCAGAGGTCAGAAGACCAATAAGCAATGCTTTCAAAATTCTGAGAATGTGACTTTTCAACCTTTAATTCTACACCCAGCCAAAGTATCAATTAAGTGTAAGGATAAAATAAAGGTAATTTCAGAATTGCAAAGCCTCAAAATATTTGCCTCTAAAGTGCTCCTTCCTCAAGAGGCTACCACAAGGCATACGAGAAAGGGCATTCCATCACAGAAGAGCAGACGGGTGATGGCAGGAGGAGACCATCCGTCCACAATGGAGCAGGAGGATGGAGCTCTTCAGGAGAAAGTGAACACGCTATCTACGGGCTGTTCACGTGGGCTTTGACTGCTGAGGGCATTTGGGGAAAACTAATGACAGTTACATAAAAAAATAACCACCAAAAAACCCAAAGATGAAAATGGACAAAAAGAGAGATTACTTTAAACTTTACTCCAGCCAGTCACTACTTCTTCAGCAGCAAACAGTATTTATGTAGTCACAATAGTAATTACTAGGATACTGGGAAGCTGAGTTAAGAATTTGTGGTATAAAGGGCCAATCCTCACTGTCCAAATTTAGAAGTCTAAACTCGATAAACTGAGAACGAACAGTGTAAGCATGTTAACTTAGAAATAAGGCGGCCACAGGTAAGCAGTGGAAGGAACTGTCCCGGGAAGCAGATAGGGGGTGAGAGGGGCTGCACAGAGGACTGCTACTGACATTTTTTGTGTCAACTTTGAAGTATTATGTTTACAAAAATCAACACAAGAACCTAGGCGTGGAAGGAGAAGAAGTTATCCATACCCTCACCAACCTCCACATCAGATAAACATAAAATTTCCCATGTAAACAGAGTCCAGTTGTGGGAACTGCGGGCTAGATTCCTGCCTCCACGTGTGCTTAAAACATAACCACAGCACACTATCAACAAATTACGTGCGTTTTCTACTCGCGATATGCCCTTTGCAGTACCACCAAATGATATATCCAACATCTGACTCTGCTTGCTCCACGCTGGGCTCCTGGCCTACCTTAGAGCATCTGTAGGCAGCCAAGTCTGCAATTACCACAGTGGTCCAGGCCCTCCCCCCACCACACACTGTTTAAAATACATTTTTTATTTATATGTACTTTCATATATACATATTGTAAACGAAGTATTGGAACCCCAAAAGGGGAAAATGGCTCATGAATCTGGCAGCAGGCCCAGGATCTGGATGAGCAAAAGTCTTTGGCTTAAGACACGACCCTACAGCCATCTGGGCTCTCTCTCAACATGCCCCTCCGTAGACCCAGGCAGTGCTGGTCAGTGCTTCCCGCCTCAGCATACTCCAATATCCTCACGGCGCCCTGGACCTAGTCTAGAAATTCCGAAAAGCCCCTAGGGCCTGTTTTTCCTCGCCTGTGCCCAACCGTTGTTTTCTGCTTTGTAATACGGGCACACCTAACACAATGCGCCTAGCAGGGTAAAAGGTCAACAGCGACAACCTTAGCTGTTTCCTCGGCCTGTCTGCACAAGTTCTAGCTTGATGTATAATGCCCAACCCAGGTGCTATTTCACCCTTTCCTCCACACACACACACAGGTCAAAACCTGTTCTTCAGGTTCACCTGAACATCCTGTGTATTAGTAAGCACTGAAAACTCTTTTTCAGAAGAACCTGTCAGCCTAGGCAGGCATCCCGCACAACTCTGATTAACTTAGAGGCGACAAGAAAAGTAACAGTAACAGCTCGTTCCTGTTCCCTGAGATTCAAAGTTCTGACCAGACTAAGGTCTCCACCTTTGGCAGAGCTGACCCGATGTCCTTTAGGGACAGTTTTTTCCCTCTCTTTGCTCGGGACTAGAGAACAGCAACACAGGTGGCTTTAGGAAGTAAAGCAAAGAACAGCACAGGGAAACCTGTGAGAGCCGCAACTCCACAGGACTGCCTTGTTTCTCGGGGTCTCCCAAGTGTTCTGCCTTTGACGGGGCACAGTCTTACCACTTTTCAGTTTTCCTTCTCTGACAGGTTTCTGCCTTAC